TTGCAATACAATTGTGGGGGGTTCCTTATTATAAGCATAGTATAATGTACCCGAAAACCCTATTCTAATTCTAATTATCAAGGCCCGTACAGTACCTGGAACTCCTCCAAGCTCGAAATCCCCGAGCTTGAAGCCCCCGACAATCATGGACAGCTCAGTTTTCCCAAAACATTAGGGTTTAGGGTTTAGTGTTTTCAACTTTTGCTGAAAGACAGTCAGAACACGAATTGAAACTTGGGAGGCTGCGAAGAAGCACGTGACCATGCAACTGGTGGCGCAGGTACCTTGTCATGCTCAGCGTTCAGGTTTGCGGACGGTGCATGGCTTGGGCCAGTAGATTGGGATGTACTCTCGGCCGGTGGAGCTTGAGGTGGTATGCTAGTATTTCTTGCGCAAACTTGCTGAACCCTCATCTCCGGCTAAGTAGCCCCTGAGGAACGATCCGAACTCTCTTGCTGACAAGAGCAGGAGCTGTGTGTGACTGAGGCCAGCCAGCACATGAAAGCAGTTGAAGATGTGGCTTGGTACGACATGTTTGGAATTTGTGCTGGGGCGCTTAGAGTCGCTGTTCATAGTAATTGTTTGGCCTTTCAGGCTCCTCTCCAGCACCGAGCAGCAGCAGAGACCAAGGACAAAACCACCAAACCCTCGGCCTCAAAGCTAAAACCTATCCAAGACGCAAAGTGAGTCTTGATCTCAAAACTTGCCTAGCCAGTGGGTGCACCGAAGCCGAGCCACTTGCAAGTAGAGTAAGCACCATACGTACTTGACACTAGATTCGCGGTTAACATGTCAGAGCCAGAGCAGCAATAAGTGCAGTAGCTCTTTCCATCAGAACCTATAGGAAACGTATGCTTCTTCCGGAAGCCCTCGTCCGCAACCCCGTGTAAGAGTTTTAGGAACCCCATGACGCCCTTGACAAGCTAGACTTACGAAGCTCTTCACCCGTAAACCCCGGCAAGAGTCGAGGAAACCTTGCGAAGCACCCTTTTCCTGAATAGCTTAACCTTAACCCTCTGTTGAATACCAACACTCTAATCTTCACCGAAAACCCTAACCCCCCGCACGAGCCTGAAGACATCTGAAGACCCGCCACAAATCCCTGCAAGAAAGCTCTAAAACTCTACAACACCCTTACGAAGCCCAAGTCAAGCTGGAATCCTTGTTATAAGTTATACAACCTTTCCGCTGATAGACATGGTGAAACCCTTTTCAAAGCTCTGTTTCTCGCGTGGAATCCTTGACGAAAGCGGCCGGTCTAGCGTCTGAGGCCCGCGCCAGGCAAGCAGCCCGACCGAGAAGGGATCCACCGATGCTATTTCCGCAAGTTGTAGAATTAGGCTTTGGGGGTATGGAGACTTTGTAAGGGCTGACCTGCATTCCCATTCTTCTCAGCTGATACTCAACACAATACTGTCTCTTGTATGGCTTCTACGACGACAGCGTCGGCTTATTTCGACCACTACAGCGACGGCGACGGTGACGACCCCACAACGACCACAGCGACCGTGAGAACCACGACGATTGCGACGGCGATGGCGATAACGACGACGACAACGACTACCGCTACTACTACTCTTACTTCGTACTGCTAGTTTGCTCAGCAACCCTGTACTGCCGCTACCTTCATGGATAGCCGCTAGGTGTAAGCTGTTTGGTTTCTTAACGGGCTGGAGCTTGGGCATGGAAGTTGTGCTTCGTCTGGTCCAGGGCGTCGGCTTCGAAGTTTCAGTCTTAAGAAAGCTACGTTTCAAGTACCCCATGTGGTCATGAATCATAAGAAAAGTAGCTATGGTTCCTTTCTGATGATGAGCGCGGCGATGATTAAGGTGGCGATCCTGATGTCGATGATGGATGATGCTGGAGATAGTGGGAAGTTGATGTTGATGGCTACGATAGCTTGACCTTCTTTAGGATAGGTGCACGAGCAAAGCACCTTATTTGAGCTGTCTTAGGGCAGGTAGCTTGCAATCCGGGCTGAAAGGCTCAAGGCACAGCCGCATGCTGAAGGCCTCTTGGCGCATGCGGTCGGAATTTTCTGCTTCGATATTGCTCTTCATTACCGCACAGTCAGCACATCAAAGTGAGATGAACAGCATACTATCCATCTCTATATCTAGCCACCCCGGCCATCCAGCTCCCACCCGTCTACCTATCTAACGATCTATCTATCTATCTATCTATCTATCTATCTATCTACTTCTCTGGCTATCTATCCATCTGCCTGCCTGCCTGCCGACCTGCCTTCCTTCCCTGCATACCTCCCTGTCTGGCCCACGTTTCTAGCTATCTGCCTGCCTGCCTGCCTGCCCGCTTGCCTAGCCAGTTATCCATATACCTTTTCGTTTGTCTGTCCCTCTCTTTGTATATATACATCTGTCTATGTCTCTCCCTATCTCTATGTCTATCTCATCTCTGTCTCCATCCTTATCTCCATCTCTGACTTTGTGGGCAATCTATCTTCCTTGATTCAGATACAGATACTCGTAAACATGTAAAAACACAAGCATGTGTGTTCGTATCTACACAGATACGAATATAAGGGTAAGTATAAGTAAACATATGCGGAACTACTTTCCAAGTTTGGCATTCTTATGCGGCTTTTTCCTTGGCCACGTTCTTGAACTCACGAGCCCGAGATTCGCTACCCAAGCAGCCTTACAAGTAGATGCACCTCATTGCGAGCATCTGACTCCTAAGTCCCAGATCCTACCTACATTCCTAAAAAGAAAATGTCCAAACCCGTCAATCCTAAATTCCAAGACGAAATCTAGACCCATATCTTGATTCCCAGGAAGCAGGACTTGCGCAGCTATGATACCAGGCCGGTTCGAGGCTCCTTGGCAGTGGTTCAGTTCAGGGTTTGTGGTGTACCAAGGCAGCCTAAATAGATGCCCATACAATCCCTAATGGTTCCCCATTATAGTTATAGCGTTACAACGGAGCCCAAAACATATTCTAATCATTAAAGCCCCTACATTCAGAGGTTTAGGGTTTAGGGCATCCTCAAGTTTGGCTTTCTGGGCCCTGGTGTTGAGCTGTTGGGTTCTTTATCCAGCCTTCAGCATGTTTACAGCACGAACCTTAAGCAAAGAATCCCTCGTTGAAAGAAGAATCAGCGTTAAGGGGTTTAAGGAGAAAGTCTATAATATAGCATCCTCAAGCACCCTTATCCCTGAAGCCCTAAACCTCGTTTTACATGTGAGGACACTCTAGGGCATGTTTTATTGGTAGTATCTGGTCGTATTATTATGTCGGGATTTCAATGTCCTATTTCTTCACGGAGATCCTGGCGAATGGGTCGTTGAAGAACGCTTTGGGGCTTTGGGTTTGGGGGTTTGAGATAGAGGCTCTGTAGGTTTACAGCTTTGGGGTTGTAAGGTTTAATAATAATACATTGTAATTGTGCTGCGGCCGGTAAAACTGACAGGAGCAGAAGGTTTGAGAGGGTGTATTTAGCATGCAACACTTGTGGTGGGTAATCCCTAAGGATCCAAAGGATCCAATACAGTAGTTAGGTGCTGAGGTTTAGGATGTAGTTATGTAGGTTACTATTTTGGAGAGTAAATGATTATTAGGTACTTGGAACTTGGACCCTTAGGTAGTTACCTGGACCATCCAAGCTTCCCTGGTTCAGCAAGAGCGTGAGCTTGCTCGTCAGGTAACTTAGATGATAGATTCTCTGCCTGAGTCTTGAACCTCCATTAACAAAGTCGCGAAATCTTCGGCCGCTGAATGACGATGATGATGAGGATGATGATGCTGATGATGATGATGATGACAATAGCGATGGCTATGGCCAATAGGATGATGCTGGTGAATGCTATGAGTTTTACTTTTGCCTTAGATCATTATCGTGACTACTCTTCCGTTGTTGCCGACACTGTTGCTACTGTTCGCACTGGGTCTGTTGTGTTTACATAGTCTTGTTTCTTTGTCGACACTTCACTATTATTGCTCCCGCTTTGCCATTCTGTGCTGTGCAGGACAGGACGCAGTACCTCTAAGACCTCTTCGTTGAATGAAGTCACTTTGCGGCTGCGACCCCAATTTGCTGAACCCTAAACCCTAACCCTAAACCAACCAACCCGAAGCAAAAGATGGGCCCCGCCCTGAACCCTCAAACACTCGAGAGCCAAGCAAGGCTCCGACTCCCCTCATCTTCTCGCTACAGTTACTAGTTAGGGCTTAGGGCGCAGGGTTTACACTTTAGGGCTTCAGGTTCAAGGGCTACATGCTACATGCATAAGCCCGAAACCCTGCAAAAGTGTGAAAAGTACTTCGAGGCTATGCGCAGCAACATGTCAATGTGCGACAAGCTCCCGGATCGAATGCTTGGCACAACGACACAAGGGACGACAGCCTTTTCGGCAGCAGTGTTGTTTTAGGGGCTAGGGTTTCATTTTGAGGTGTTTAGGAATTCAGGGCTGGGCTGTGTAAGCTGTGGGGTATTGGTAGTTGTGGGTCTGTATTTAGGCTGAGCTTGTTGGAATTAAGGCTTTTGCCTGCAAGGGCCATCCTCAATTCCTTCTTTTGTTAGGAATGTTGTTTTGGGTTTGCAGTGATGGGCCGTGGAAATCTAGATGTTTATGTACTGGGCTGCTTTGCTTTCTTGCGAGCACAGCGGCATCGTCACTCCTCAATGCGACCCACAGTGTCGTCGTCCTGTCGCGCGCGCACCGTTGGCTCTGCAACTTGGGCCGCAAAGGGGAACCCTACTGACTCCCCAGACACTGAGCCCCCAAACCACAAAATGCGAGAAGGCCCCGAGACCCTCATAAGTCTTAGACACTGAAGCTCAAGTACTAGGCCAAACTTCTTGAACTCCCAAACAACGAACGCAAGAATCTCGAGGCCTACCATTGCTACTACTGCGACAACTACTTCCAGAACAACAACAACAACAACAACAACCTGACTTCGTCAACCTCGCGTCCGTCAAAAGGCAAGAGAGCAAGTTTTTCCAACTCGGCACGATTCCGATCATCCAAACCCCGGAGGTCGTACAAGAAAAGAGGAGGGAAAGTTAGGCCGGTCAATGTCAATGCCATCATCGACAGCGACGACCGATCAACTGAGTTGGGTTTTGCCAAGCACGTTGCAAGAATCAAAGCGCAAATGATCTTAGACATGCTTCACAATGATGAACCGGGTGATCGACACGTGCATATCAGGATTCCAGGAACTTCCAGAGTCAAAGACATTGTCCATTACGACAGTGATGACGAGATCATGGAATGGAACCTGAATGCAGCAGATAGTGGCAAATCCTTGAAGAATGATGCGGAAATATGCATGGTTCAGCCTACGTGGATAAGATCGAAGATGATATTCCTCATGGTTACAGGATGTGGTCACGATATGTCACGATCTTGTTTCTCAACACAAGGTGGGCAAGCATGACCTTGAGACGCTCGTGAGTCAGGAGCCCATATCATTCCAAACAGCGAATGAGGTGACCGACTCTGATATGATTTCCAACTTCCAGACGGAATCATAAGGAGCCGATCAATGCCTACGTCCCACCATCAGTTTTATCTGTCGGGAACCAGTCATGATCAACTCTGAAGGGGAACGCATATCTCTCTTCGTACACGGCGACATTCCGTATGTTCGAGCAGGAAGTAAAAGTCTGTCGCTCACGAGGACAAAGAGGCAAGTGCAATCAAGACGGTGTTCGACCATCGATCATCAACCTCTACATCTTCATCTCATGAGACAGCGGTTGTGGCCGAAGCAGTGCCGGGTGAAGAGGAACGAGAAGGGGAAGGTGGCTTCATCGAAGCATCTGACCCTGAACCCGTCCCTGACGAAGTTCCTGCTGAAGAAGTTCCCGAGGCACAAGCAGGAAGACCTCCTGATCCACCTGAACGTGTACGAGAAGATGACGATGAGCGAGTGATTGAAGCTGAGGGTGAAGACGCATCAGTACGGAAGGCAAAGATTGGAACGCTCAAGGCCGAAGCCAAGACGCGAGCCCCACTTGTGTACGCACAGGTACAGGAACCCGTACTGCAAGGCATGCATATGCGCGAAGATGAAGCACTATCACACGGTATGTGGAGCCTTCCAACGAGAGTTGAAAGCTTGGGGAGATCTCATCACATTCGACTTCCTCGACATGCCCCAAGCAGCTGACATGGGAGTGGGAATATATGACGAAGATCGTGAAATCCTTGTCGTACGTGATGTTGCGACACAAGTCACAGCGGCAATACCGACAGAGTCAAGACGTACGGACCAGGTCGTTGACGCTCTCCGGAGAGTCATAAGCAGACGCAAAGTTCATCTCGCCTACAGCGACGCTGCCCCCGAGCTCGATGCAGCTATGGCACAACTTCGGACACCAATCGACCATTCTTTTCCAGGCTTGCCGAAGAACAATTCTTTTGCGGAAAAAACGAATCAAATCGTGATCAATACGGTCGCGACTTCGTTGCTGCATGCCGGATTACCAGCACAATATTGGCCCGCTGAACTGTGTTGTCCACAACCTCAACATCGACGATGTTCTGCATGGAAGCGTATGACAGGTGAGGACTTCAAAGGCAAGGCCATCCCGTTTGGCGCGAAGGTTTTCTTCAAACCGACGGACGCAAGAGAAAAGACTTACACAGGAAAGTTCGACCCCAAAGGAATCCCTGGTATCTTTGCTGGGTACATCATCACATCGGGACAGAAATGGTCACGAAAGTAACGAGTTTGGGACATGGCGGAGTTCGCTCACGTGAATCTGTCCATGAATGCTGCAGTCCTCAGACGATTGGCACAACCTTACGCGACCGAAGTGGCTGTCTTGCCCGAGGAGATTGTGTTTCCACTGAGGGCGGAGTACGAGAGGATGAACGCAACTATTGAGGGTCTGAAACGCATTGCTGACTTGCAAGGCAAAGAACTCAAAGATGATGCGGATGATCAACCACCTCATGATGGAGGAGATGATGATGACGACGATGGTCCACCAAAAGGAAAGCCACTAGAACACGAACCGCTCGAGGACATGTCAGACTATGTTCCAAGTGAAGCAGAGAATGACATGCCTGCCGACGAGGGGTGCGATCGCAAGGTTTTGGATGCAATTGGTGATTCGATTCTTGATCAAGCCGGACGTGATGAAGGTGTAAGCAAACACCCAACATCGTCTACCGTTCCCCCGGAAAGTGGCCATAGGGTTGACCATCTAGGCCACGACGAAGTCGGACCATCTGGGAGACTTATCCCTCAACGACGAGGGTGAGGCGTGCAAGATCGACAAGAGAGGTGTTCCTTACAAGGTAAGAAGTGATGGACGTCGGAGAGTTCCTACTCGTCGTCCCATCCACAGATTGACGCCTGAAGAATGGGATGCGCTGGGTGTTAAAGCTCGTGCAGCAGCCTACAAGAAGGACAAACGTGAAAAGGCCAAGGCTGCAAAGAAGGAACGGAAGAGAGTCGCAGTGGGCAGAAAGGTGTTCAACGATCTCATGAACAACATGGTGTTCCCCAAGATAGTGCCGTCGTGCGAAGAGATTGATTTGCAACTCGACGTTTGACACGCACGGGTGGATGGGAATGGGCACAGGACAACATGGATCAGGCCGCCCAATAAGACTTCTTGAACGATGTGACGCCTGCCATCAGCCCTGACATGGTGTTCCATGATGATTGGATACCGGCCATGCCGTGTACCACTTCCATACCTCGTGATCATCGCACCAAGAATCCACAGGTGAAGCCGTATTTCAATGCCATGGTTATGCGACCCGTTACACGGAAGGAGATGCTATCGAATCCCAAGGCCATGGAAGCGTTCATGAAGGAGTGGAAAGCACTTTGGGACCAAGAAGTATTCGACTTCGCGCGGACGCGTGAGTATGACGAGGTAGTGGCTGGGGAAAAGAATAAGGACGAAAAGATCCACATGGCCAGGGTCGAAGATGACCCAGCAAGAAAATTCAAAGGGCGAGGAGTGCTACTGGTGATCAGGTAAACGACCAGAACAGGGAGGCAGCGCTATTCCAAGATCTGGAAACCCCCCTGCAACGTTCGATGCGCCGAGGTGGGCGGACTATTACGGACGCTTGTTTGGGAACGACGTCCAGATGGCTGATGCTACGCACAAGCATATATCCAAGCGAAGCTGTCAGGTGTTCCACGTTGGGTGGAACTTCCGGACGAAGCTTGGCACCCATCGGCGAACAAGCGCAAATTCCGTCGCCCCGTATGCCGTTTGGTTAAAGCATTATATGGTCGTCCACAACATTGCCACACAGCAGTGCAGAAGGTTGGGTTCAAACCAATTGGCGAAGAGTGGCCGTCGCTGCATTTTCATCCTGCCATGAAGCTATTGCTTGTGATCTATGTGGACGACCTCAAGATGGCCGGTCCCAAGGAACAATTGGCGAAAGGATGGGATATGCTACGACGCGATCTGCGTCTTGAGGAAGAAACGCCATTGGGCTTGTACCTAGGTTGTCGGATCTCCATAGGTGAAGCAGAATTGCATGACAAGACCAGGGTGCAAACTGTCACCTATGACATGGGAGCGTACCTCGACATGACACTCAAGAAGTACTGTGATGTTACTGGGTTCGATCCGAGCAAATTCAAGTCTGTACCGTCGCCCAGTCCTGCAGAGGAGACTAAGCATCACCCTGCACGAGCGCCGGTCAGCACTGGTAAAAGTCATCGATGCACGTGGTGTGGCAACACCATGCCTATTGACGCGGATGATCGGCTCATTCTGCCTCCACCTATTCCAAAGGGCCCAGCGGAAGAGGAAGTCACTGAGGCAAATCGAGGAGCTCTGGCGCCACAAGCGGCCAATATTCTCATGAAGTTATTGTACGCGGCACGCATTTGTCGCTTCGACCTACTGCGTAGCATCGGCATGCAAGATCACAAGATGGACCAAGAAAGAGGATGCACTGTTGCACCACCTCATGGCCTATGTGCACCAGTCCAAACATCACATGATGATTGGCTGGGTGGGGGACTCCTTGGAGACTTCATCGATCGGACTGTTTGCAGATGCGGACTATGCTGGTTGTAGTGAGAGCTTGAAGTCAACCTCTGGTGCTCACATGCACATTCAAGGCCCACATGCACGTTTTCTGCTCGCGGGGCTTAGCAAAAGGCAAGGCTGCCTTAGTGACTCTACTCCTGAGGCCGAGATTGTCACGGCCGACTTTGCCATGACTCGCTTGGGTTTACCCGCCATTACTCTATGGCGGCAATTGGGAGGTGCAGATCCCAACTTCGTCTTCTACGACAATAATCAGACCATGATTGGAGTCATTCACACCAGCAAGAGCGTGACTATCTGCCAGCTCATCAACCCCTTCCATCCCCTTCCCTCCGTCCCTCATTGGCACTCACAAGACATCATGGGTCTGACGCGGCCTACTCATTCCCAAAGCACCGACGAGAAAGGCCAGCAAATCTACTCGTTCAAGGGAGACGTCCCCTGCTTCCCGTACACAACTACTCCCATTCTGCCTCAGGTCTTGTACCGGGCTGTGTTGTCAAGCAAAGAAGGGTTGCAGGAACATGACAGCGTCGATCCGATATTGGTTGTTAAGTTCCCATGCGTCCTGCGGGATCCGCCTTCGGCGCTCCCGCCGGGTCGGTATCTTAGATCGACCCGGGTGCTTCGGGAAGGCAAATGGCACGACGTTGAGGATCAGGCCGTTATTCCGGACTCCCCCGTCAAGTTTGATCCCTACGTTGAGCGAGCAGCGTTTCAGTACCACCCTGTACGGGGCTGACTGCGTCCGGCGGCTCCGGTTGTGGACTCCGTCCCTTCCCCGCCTGTCGCCTGAGTGGCGCTCGGTGGTCGCTGCGTTGTCACGCGCATCCATGGGCGGTACCAGGGCTTCACTCTCCCTCTTCGATTCAACGGACGTCCTTATCAACACCGACTACGCTATTTTGACGACGCGAAAATGGACGAGAATTATCGAAGATGCGTGGGAAGATGCAGCCTCAAAGTCAAGAGAACTGGAAGGCTATGGGAAACCGATCGTACCGCATGTGATGGAATTCCAGGAGAACAAGAACGGTTTGATCGTGGAATCTTTCGATGGTGACAACCTTGTCCACACCTACGAGGACATCGGGAATCCTATGCGAATCAAGATCATGGTTGTTGACGCTCCATCGGAGGTCACAATTTGGTCTTTGATTGGAGTTGAAAACGATAACTGGTGGAATGAATTTGTTCCGGCAATCGATTGCGCCAAGGAATTTGCACCGGGACCGGAATATGACCCTAAATCGCAGGTGAATGTACTTTGCACTGGCGCACGGGTCGATGACGCAATGGGCTCCTACATGACATGTGTGACGTGCTCCGTCGGAGCAGGTGTCCTTGGAAAGGCTTCGTGGATAAGTCGTGCGGTCGACGAAAACTTCGAGAAGTCCACGTTCACGACTGACTACCCCTGGGGGGAGGTCGTCCAAAGAATTGTCCTTGTCGCGGCCAAGTCGGGGACTCAGGTGATTGTCGAAACACCGCCGGGAGCTCAGACAAAGGATACCAAGCAGTACAGACTACTGTCCGAGAACAAGAATTGGCGGATGATCAAAAGTGATGGATGTTCACATGGTCGGCAGATTGTCTCCCGAGATCATCAAGGACAGACAAGAGTCCAGTATTGCAAGGGTGAGTGGGAATTCTTTACCGCGAACACCAAACTTGTATCCAAGCCTTCAGACAAATGTCAGTCAAAGCATGAACATGCCGGCGACACGGAACTTCAAGGAACAAATTGGCACGGAAGACGGACTAGCCAGGTGTCTAGACGGCTGCTGAAGTCTCTGGTGTTCAAGCCTGGTAGTGGTAAACTAGTCTCTATGCCTGTGGAGCAATCTGAGGACGGTCATCAGTGTGTGATCGTGAGCCTTGCCCTGAACCTGTTCAGG